CTTCAAGAGAGCTCCTTTTTAAAGCAATAATATGGAAAATATCCATGGCGGTGGAGGCACCTATCCTTCTGCATTAGTGATGGCAGAGCGGAGACAGACTCACATTTTATGTGAAATATCATTGGCGCCATCGACCGTAACTCTAGGTTTGCATCACTTATTCCGGCCTCCCATTTATATTCCTTAGGCCCTGTATCTCTAGAGACAGACGCTTGAAAACTATTACTTTGACCCATTTGCAAATCCCACAATTAACCAGGATTTCAAAATATCTAAAATGTTTAATAAAGTCACCATTGCTCCTTGAAAGTCCAAAGAAAGTATGAACTTTTAGTTACACTTATTTTTAATTTTGCAAATGATTTCTAGCAAATATTTATTTATTTAAAACTTCACAGATGTGCTGGGCCTGATGGCATACAGCTGGAGATTTCAGTTCTCGACAGACCAGGTAGGAGGATTTCTACTTTAAGAAAAGCATGGACTATGTAACTAGAACCTGTCTTAGAAAAAAAGTGCACAAAGGAAATATTAATTAAGTATTATGAGTAAAATAAGAAATAGTTTCTTTACAGTATTACTATAAAATATCAATCTAGAGATAATTCTGCCCAACTTGTATTTTTATATTTTATTTTATGGAGAAAGAGTCTCACTATATAACCTTGGCTGGCCTGATCTCACCATGAACAAAATTTAATTTTTAGGAACAATCTTGTACAAAAAATTTCCTTCCATCTTGCTTCCTCATATTCAAATCACAGAAAGCAATGTGATACCAAAGTCCTGTTGAACTCTGGGCAAGTGCTTGAATTGTGTTTTCTCCTACTCAACAATAATTTTCCAAAACTGATTTTTAAAATATGCAATAAAGACCATTCAAAAGATGTGATCATTAAAGATTTCCTGACAGAATGTGATAGAACAATGAAGAGTCATGTCATCCAGTAAACCGATGCATCATCCTGTCCTGAGTAAGGTTCCCTGAACAATAAAGTTTGTGATGAGTAAAATGATTCATCAGGATTGGACCTTGTTGACTCATGAGAAAGCTTCTCTCTCTCCCACCTTTACTGTCCTGTATGTAGACCAGGTTGAACTCAAACTCATAGATATCTGCCTGCCTCTGCCTCTGCCTCCTGAGTGTTGGGATTGAAGCTATGCTTCAACACACCTGGCTCTTTCTTTTCTGTTTCTTTCCTCCTTCCCTCCCTCCCTTCATTCTATCCTTCCTTATTTCCTCCCTTCTTCCCTCTCTTTTTTGTTTTGTATTTTGTTCCTTTGCCTACTTGTAAATCCAGGGCAAAAATAATTCTGAAAAACTTTCCTGAGACTCATGTCAGTATTTTGAGACTATAACAAGAAATTAAACTGTGTGCAAAGTTTTTTACAGGTAAATTTTGGCATTGTGCATCAATTGAACTGTAATAATCCCCAAGTCATAGTTCAATACATGGGACTTCCGGATGTTGAATATGCTTCATTCTGGGATGAGAGATGTCAGGGATTAATCTTATCCCAATTGTTCTAGTCTTAAAGTGGAAGATTTTCTTCTTTTACTATATTTGGGGAGATGAGAAAGAAAAACCCAATGAAAAAAGAAATCAAAAGGTCCAGTAGGCATCTTACAAAAGACCAATGCAAGGATTGGTTGTAGTAAAAGGGACTCAGATAAACAGCAATCAGATTTGCAGAGGGAAAAAAGGAGCGAGAGTGCTAAAAGTTGGTAATCATTTTAACATACATTTTTAAGTCTCAAACCTATTCCAACAACTGCCAGCAGAGGTCGCCATGTCAGGTGAATCTGCTTAGCAGCCCTGGCTCTTAATGCTTATTGGACATTTCCTTTATCTGTGGCTGAAAGGGGGTGGGGTTAATAACTCACCTCTTGACAGTAATAAACCGCACTAAATATGCGTCAGTGGGAAGGTGTAGGTGTGCCTTCGCAGGTTGCCTCCAGAGCGCTCCTACTCAGCTGAGAGTGTATGTCCAGAAAAAGAAATAAAATGTTGAAAATGACTATCTTACCCAATGTCCCTTAGAAATTCAAAACCCTGCCTCGCCTTTGCATCTGCGTTTGGCTGAATTTGTGAGAGAATCTTTCTCTGAGAGGTATGAATAGAGATGACGCGAAATTAATGGAATATAGAAAAGCGAAAGGTCTCCATTTATGAAAATTTTCTCAGATGTTCAGCTTTTAATTTGTACATTTTTGGAGTGTTCAAACTTTTTAGAGCATTTCTAAAGCTATCGGATGTGCTAAGAGTAGGATTTTCAAAATGTTCTTAGTGCTAACACGTTTTCAAGAACCAAGAAGGGGGAAAAAATTACTTTGAGAGAGAGAGAGAGAGAGAGAGAGAGAGAGAGAGAGAGAGAGAGAGAGAGAGAGAGAGAGAGAGAGAGAGAGAGAGAGAGAGAGAGAGAGAGAGAGAGGAAAAGAAAAGAAAAGAAAAGAAAAGAAAAGAAAAGAAAAGAAAAGAAAAGAAAAGAAAAGAAAAGAAAAAAAAGAAAATAAGCTGCTATTCGGTGTTTGAATCTTCAAAATTCCTACAGAGGGCGCTGTTGCCCGTTCAATAAAAGAGGGAATGATCCCAGGGAAAGGTTTCCCGTGAAATTGATTTTTTTTTCTTTTACAAAATACCACATTGCAAATTAACAAGGGTTCCTACTAGCATTATATATTTCTTCGGGTAGTTATCACGTATGTATGCATGTGTGCAAACATTTTAAGTTTGTTTTATTCTTAATAAAATCGGACTTATTTTGAATGTTCTATAAAGAACTTTAAAAATTTTTAACAAATACTAAGTACATTCCTACCTTTAAAAACATCTAATATTAAAATAAAAGAAAACACAAATGAAGATTTGCGATTCTACCTAAATGAAGCTACAAAATAATCAAACTAGCACACCATATTATCTATTTAAATAGTTTTATATGTAAAATTATACCTTTAGTTTGGTTTCTATTTTATTAAACCTCCGATTTTATTTAAAATTAATCAAAGATATGTCAGAAAGTGATTTAAAGCATCAACATATTTAGAAGAAAAAAGTTTTTCCAAATATTTTTTGGTTTGGGTGGGGGATGTCTGTAATGAAGATTTTTTTGATGATTTGAAAGGGATCTGAGCATTATCGTTAATAAGTTTGTGTCTTGAGAATCTTTATTTCCAAATCTATAATACCCATTTTTCAAAGTATCAACCAAAGACTGATTTCAGTTCTAGAGGGGTGTGGGAGCCACACAATGACATCAAGAAGAACTATTTCCTCTCTCCTAACCAACTCTGGTGGTGAAAGGTGGATGTGTCTACTGACGCTGGAAGACTAGCCTCGTTTTGTGGTTAAAGATGCTAATTGTTTTAAGGGGAAGGAAGGAAATAATAAAAGGGAAAAAGCGAAAGAGAAAGGAAGAAAAAGGGGGAGAGGAAGGGAGAAAGGACGGAAGGATGGGAAGAAGGAGGAAAGGAAGAAGGCAGAAAAAAAAATCCAACAGGGAATAGAAAAAGAACGTGTTTCTCAAGTTCTATCCAAAGCACCCTGCGTTTCCTTCATTAACCTTACGGCAAATTAATAATGATGATAACAACAGCAACGACGACAATAGATTTGCAGACCTGTTCTTTGTGCGAGGTAGGAGTCCTCAGTTTGTCTATTAGGAAATTGCTGTCTTCCTAGGCAGCTTGGAGCCCTCTGTTTGCGGAGCCTCGGACCCTGCTGGAGCCCTAAAGTGCATAGGATACCTGGGTTTAAAGACAAACGCCTTTTACAGATTCACTATCATCAGGTTTAATAACTTCCACACCAAATTACGGCAACCCTCCTCATTCCCTTCTGTCGTCTATTTTCTGCCCTAGGGGCCAAGATCTTCTTCAATGCCTCCCTTCTGGCTCCCAGGAACCTTCCTCACCCAGAAAGAGAGAAGGAAAACAACAGAGCGGGTGGGAAGGTGGGGTTAAGGGAGAGAGCTAGTGAATATAGAATTTCTGGTGAAAACAAACAAACAAGCAAAAAAACTCTGAATCTTACAAGGCATTCCTTTGAGGCTAGCTTAATTTTGTTCTTGTTATTATTTACGCTTAAGAAATAAACTAAACTGCACAAATCACACCTTCAAAACAAAATCTACCCCCAAACTAACCTGACAAAATCAAATTAACACTTGTACATTTCCCACTATCTCCTTAAAGAGCATAAACCTTAAACCTTCTCGAAGATTGTGCTTCTCCAGTTTTTTAATCTATCAGGTTAAAATCACAAATTACAGACAACAGAAACAAACATAAAATGTCCTACACCTCTGTTAAAAGTCTCAGAATTAGCATTGTGGGCTTTGTTGTTTCCAACATGTGAAAAAAAAAGAAAAGAAAAAAGAAAACTTGAAAAAAATGCAAACCCCAGGCAAACAGAAAGACACACAGGATCCATTGAAAACACACAACCATTCCAGAGCTATAAGCGATATAGACTGCAGGGTCCACAAGATAGTCAAGTTACCAAATGTGTTAGGCAAAATGAACAAAAATATCAGAAATCATTGTGGCAAATAGTTTTGTTGTTATTGTTCTACTATGATACTGTAGGTTATAAAATTTGCACAAATATCATATGGGAAAAATAGCTCTTAAAATCAAAGAATCTAGGTGGTTTTTTTTTTTTTCTAATAGGCTACTGAGCACACAGGAATAGAACATTTGTGTTTTAAAATCTCAATAATGGTCCCCTTTTAAAAAAACTTTGTAGAAAATGAGGAGACTGATGTCCCTACTTTCTCATTATCATATGTTATAAGACTTTAGTTGGTAGCTTCGATGATTCACCATTTTCAAAATAGGGATTATTTTTAATGTATCTACTTATATTACTTGCTTTGAAGGCTATCTTCCTTTTAAATACCCTTTTAGTCAATGAATTCTGCGACCCAGAGGTGTTTATGTAACTAAATGTGGGTATCTGCGTGTAAAGTCGTGTTTATGATTTTTTTTGTAATATGTATGTGCGTGTGTGTATGTGTGTGTGTGTGTGTGTGTGTGTGTGTATGTGTGCGCGCGCGTTGTATCTAAGTCCTGTGTGCAATAATGTTTTTCTGTCTGCTGAGGCTTACTTCTCCAGCCTATTGTTTGAGACAACAGATATAAGTTGCGATGGGAGAGGAGCGTCGGATTTGGTGTGTATCCCCCATTTCCAATTATAGATGGATCATTACAGACAGCGGAGTCCTGAGAAGCCAGACATCTGCTCCTCACATGAATGCACTCACCTCCTAGAGACCAGGCTGCCATCATGCTCTGGAAACTCGTGGAGAATGTCAAGTACGAAGACATCTATGAGGTGAGCGGACACCCCCAGATGCATTTTAGAGCTTTGTACATGGAAAACTGGAGCTTCTTGACACCCCAGTTGACATATTTTTAAGCTATTTTATTAGCAGATTTCCGGCCGGGTTTCTGAGGTTTCTTTAAGTTTTCTAAGGCTGCCTCTAGTAGACTTCACTCTGCTGACGGGTGGACTTTTAAGGTTGGAATCTGGCAACTTTAATTTAGGAGCTATTTTTCTTTTCTTCTTTTTCTTTCTTTCCGGTTCTCTCCTCCCCCCTTGTAGGCTCTGGTGGGGACCGTGGAGCCACTGAATTTAAGTAGACAGAGAAAAGCATTCTCCCCTCATTTTGAGTTCGGGAGAGAAGCGGGTTTTCAAGCTTCACTCCAACTCGGGCTTTGGATTTTTTTTTAAAACAACAAATTTTCTGAAATCGGTAACTAACGGGTCCAGGTACAGGGTAAACACCTAGGGCAAGAGGGGAAAGAACGGGTGTACGAAAAGATAGAGTACAGTACGGGAGAGGGCACGGTTTGCTATTTTTGTTTTCTTGTGTTTTGCTTCTTTGCGGGTCAGTGGTTCCAAGCAGAGATGGCAGCCGCCAGCGTGTGGGCATTTTTTTTTTATTTTTTAACGAAGTCTGCCTACACTTCGTGCACCCGGCTACCAGAGCCCGGGAGAGCGCGTCCCTCCGGGGCTTCGACCTCCTCCTCCCCGGACTCCAGCGTTCGCTTCTGGAGTCCGCGTCGAGCGAGGTTATTGCGTCGCCGTGCGCTCTGCAGCTCGCTGGGGAGGAGAGGGGTCACGGGCCGGGGACGGCTGCAGGAGGAAATGCCACAGTCCCGGAGCTGGGGAGATCTCCCCCCAGTTGAGCTCAAGAGAAAGAGAAAAGGGAAGTAAGACTCAAAGTGGACGTCGAGCGAGGGAAGAACGGTTCTGGAGCTTCGAGAAAAGCTTTCCCGAGATCCGAAAAAGAAAAGAAAGCGAAAGGGACTTAGCGAAGCGGGGAGGCAGAAGGGGGAGACCACCAGGAAAAGTTGGAGAGCAGAAAGCAGAAGCGATGAAACCCGGCCCCCCGGCACCGGCAGCACTGGGCTGGACCACCGTACGGAGCTGGGCAACTCAGGCTGACGAACCAGTCAGGAAAGAAACCGGGGCCGTGAGCTGGGAGCCCTGTGGGGACTAGGAGCAACAGCTCTGTAGTGGTTGGCCTTGCCCAACTAAGGGGAGTCTGGAAGCAGTCACTAGCTTCTTCCCCACCCCGCTGGCCGGGTCCGCCCGAGTGATCGCGACTCCTTACGGAGCCTGGAGTTAGTGTCCAGTGTGTCCCAGTCCCAGCATTTCGAAGACCTCGTTTGAAGGTCAATGAGAAAGTGAGAGAGAAAGAGAAAAAAAGAGAGGGAAAAAGAAGGAAAGGAAGAGGAGGAAAATGAGAGAGAGAGAGAGAGAGAGAGAGAGAGAGAGAGAGAGAGAGAGAGGTTTTTCTTTCTCGGGGTGACTCCAGGTTTCGTCTCCCCTTTGTAGTTGTGTACTGACTGTACTGAGGGGCCGTGTCTGCCCGACCTGGCAGGGTTTGCTTTGCTCTGGCCTGCCTTTCTTTCCTAAAAGGCGGGATTATGCTAGTCCAGGTCGCTAAACTATTCTAAAGAACACACCAACCACGGTAAACGTGCCGCTGTCTGAGCTGGGGTTGCAATGGAAGTAGCTCTGAGTATACGCAGAGGAATTAAAGTAATCAGAGGGATGGTGGTTCCTTGCTTATGAAAAATAAACGACTAAATGGAAAAGGAGGGGGAGAGGCGAAGGAGTGGGGTAGAGTAAAAGTGGGAAGGAAGACGAGAAAGGGGAGGGAGAGAAGAGAGGAGAGGGGAGTGAGGGAGAGAAAAGGAGGGAGGGTGGGGGAACGGTGAAAACGGGGTAGGAGAGGTAGGAGAGGAGAGAAGACTGAGGGGAGGGAGGAGAGAGTGCATTACTCTAGGCTGCCTAAATTTTCAGCTGAAAAGTCTGGGAGAACCCGCACACTGCGTGGTGGAAGGAGCCTATTTCAGTCTGGGCTACGGTTGAAGTTTAACCGAATCGGCAGTCAGGCCAGTTGAACGGGTTCCTGAAACATCCCAAAAGATTTTCTGTTGCCCCTGGCTTTGCCTGGAAAGGATACGTTTAGTGTGCTTGAAGAGATCGGTTGCATATATTTTAAATCTCGGTTTTAAAAAAAAAAGTGCAGTCTGTAAGCACCGGAAAGGAAAAGGCAACAGCACTGTGTTCAACACCGCCCCCATCTCTCCTAGGTCTTAGGGGGGGAAGGAAAAGCGAAATCTACATTCAGAAAAAGTCTGTGTGTAGCTCCCAGTAAACAAACAGGCCCTCCTATTTACTCTTCTTTTCCCTCCAGATGACCAGGCAAAGCCTTTCTAGTTTGCCGTTCTCCTCTGCACACCAAGCACTTAGGGCCACCTCCTCCCTGTTGGGAAAGTCTCCCTCTGTATACCAGAACACCTACATTCTCTGGGAGCCCCCCAGCACGGCTCCCCCACACTGCCGAATCCAAAGAGCAGAGGTTGCCTGATGAGAGCGAGCGTCCCAGCTCAGTTAATTGAAGTTCTGCCTCTTTCCTGCTAAACTTTTCCCCCAGTCTGCCTCCGCCAGCCCCCTCGTCTGATTACATCTAGTAATTCTCCACTGAATGAACGTCATTTACAATAGTGGAGGAGCTCTGAGCTCGCTGCTGCTTCACGCTCCATTTGTCCTCCATTCTCCCTTTAAAGTACTCGTGTAATATTAATAGTCATGAATATCAATTATTATGAGGCGGTGTAGGCAAGCGGAGGGAGGAAGGGGCGCCCGAGCAGTCTGAGCCCAGCTTCGGGTGGAAGAGGACTGTTTCTGGAGCGCCCGAGAACCCGCAGAAGAAAAGAGGCCAAAAAGACGGTGAGAGACAGATGAACGGCTCTGCCTGTCTGTGACAGGCACCTCCAATCATCTTGGAGGGGGATTTTTTTTATTATTATTATTATTTTTGATGGCTTGTCCTGGAAACACCTCAAGCTCAGCTCCTGTGTCCAGCTTGCTTCTCCGCTGGACTTTTTGATTTTTTGAAATTTCATTGTTTGATTTTGAGCAGTAACCGGGCTTTTTTTTCCAGATGTTAGTCCACACCTATTCATCCATGGTGAGTTCGGATTCCCGTTGTACCAGAAGTGCATGCCTTCTCCTCTCACTGTCTCTCCGTCTCTGCATCTGTGTGCTTGTCTCCCTCTGTCTCTCTGTCTTCCTTTGAGTGCCGTTGGCTTGGTAATTTAGCACCATAATTGGACGAGGCTGCAGCTGCTTCTCTCTGCATTGTGTGTGCCTTGTCTGAGAGTTAGCTGGGAGGGGGTGAGGCTGAGCCGAAAAAACTTTTTATTTGTCAAGGCAGTTTGGAAATTTAGGTGGCTGTTTCGACAGAAAGAACCCAGGGGGACTTTTACCACAAAGGATGGGGAGAAACTTAAAGTGTCCTGCACTTCCTCCTCCTCGCACTTGGCTTCCACTCTGGAGAGGAGGGGAGAAAAGATGTGGGGGTTATCTCTTCACCTCCCAACTTCAGTTCCTTATTTTAACACCCTGAGTATAATAGCATGTGATACGGCAAGCAAGCTCAGAAATAACTCCTGCAAACCACAACTCAATTTAACGTGGGCTTAGGGTGTGATTGCAGAGGAGATCCGTTTCAATCAAACTCTAAGTTATTTAATTCCTCTTGGGGAGGGAGGGGTGGTTGGAAGCTCTGATCAGGCAGATGCCTCCCCGCTCTGGGAATCTCCTGCTTGTGTGAGCCCCGGGGCCTGCCAGCTACCTGCCAGTGAAGGCAGAAGTGGGCTTTTTTTTTTTCAACCAGAGCAGTACCACAGCTATTAGAAAGGTTCGCCTGGTGGACTTTGGATTTCTTGAAGAGGTGGGAGCAAGAAACATTTAGAAGAGCAAACACCACCCTTGGGTCCTACATTCTTAACTCAAGGCTTTGAGCTATCTCTGTCCACACAGTTCCTTCTCCTCTCCCTTTTGCCTGCTTTGCTCTCTCCAAAGATGGCTCATAGGCCGGGTAGTGGGTGAGCTTCCGATTTCTGTTGTAGTTAAGTCCCCTGAAGCTTCCCGGGGTGGGATTGTTGACATTTTTACCATGTGGCCCTGAGTCAGCTTGGGTCTAAGGTTTAGCCTCTTGCTTCCTTTCCCTTATCCGGGGAAAGTTGTACGTACAGAAACCGAACTCTCTCTCTCTCTCTCTCTCTCTCTCTCTCTCTCTCTCTCTCTCTCTCTCTCTCTCCCTCTCTCTCTCTCCCTCTCTCTCCCTCTCTCTCTCTCCCTCTCTCCCTCCCTCTCTCCCTCCCTCCCTCCTTCTTCTCCTTCTCCTCCTTCTCTCTTTTCTACTCCCAGGACCGGCACGATGGCGTCCCAAGCCATAGCTCGAGACTATCTCAGCTGGGCTCTGTGTCCCAAGGCCCTTACTCGAGCGCCCCGCCGCTGTCCCACACGCCATCATCGGACTTCCAGCCACCCTACTTCCCACCCCCCTACCAGCCACTACCCTACCACCAGAGTCAAGACCCCTACTCCCACGTCAACGACCCCTACTCCCTGAACCCTCTGCATCAGCCCCAGCAGCATCCCTGGGGGCAGCGACAGCGCCAAGAAGTGGGTTCAGAAGCCGGCTCTCTACTGCCCCAGCCCCGGGCAGCCTTGCCCCAGCTCTCGGGCCTTGACCCCCGAAGGGACTACCACTCTGTCCGGCGGCCGGACGTGCTGCTACATTCGGCACACCACGGCCTGGACGCCGGCATGGGCGACAGCCTCTCGTTGCACGGTCTTGGGCATCCCGGCATGGAAGATGTGCAGGTAATTCCAAACAAACAAAAACAAACATAAAAGATAATAAAAGAAGAATGCGGGAGGGGGGAGGGCGGCCTGGTCTTCTGGGGGTGGGGGTGGGGGTTGTCATCTTTAGAACCGGACAGACCGGACAGGACAAAAGTGTGTGTTTGAGTGTGTGACTACAAGGTGGCAGTTTCTAGAGATCCATTTGTGAATGACAGGACGGATGGACATTAAATCTTGAAGGAGGAAATACATTCGTGAGAGTTTACAGTCATTGCCATCAAGGCTAATGTTTTCATCTTGACTCAGCTACTGGACATGTGCATTCTCTGTTGCTTTGTGTGAAGAAGTTGGCACTAGGTTCACCCCAGAGTGAGCCTGTCTCGCTAAAGGGCTGACTGTCTAGAGAACAGAGCTCTTAGCCAAGAAGGCTCAATGGCCCCTGAAGGCTCCAGGTGTTCTCCCCTTTAGCAAAGCCTGCTAAGAACGATGTCGCTTAGGAAGAGAGTCGTTAGCTGTGTTTGTTTAAGACCCCTTTGCTTTGAATTTCTCAAAGCTTCAGAGCCCTTCTCTAGAGCCGGCTCCTGTCAATGGGATCTTTGCCGGGACAAGCTCAGAAAGTTGCAACAGGGTTCTGGGAGTCCTTGAGGACCTGGTATCATTTTTGGAACTGTCGTCTGAAGGCCACTTAATTGACTGTAAAGCAATTCCCCTTCAGTCCTCTCCTGACACTTGTCACCCCTCCCCAATGCTACTGTCCCCTCGGAAGAGGCAGCATGTGTTTATTTCTTAAAACAAAAGGTTCAGGACAAACCTCCCAGCCACCGAGGATCCCATCTGCAGCCTACACAATGGAGGCCGACTTGGATGAGAACCCTTGGTTAAACTAAACAAAGAAACATCAAAGAAAAGATTCCTAAATACTGTCAGGGTGATTCTGAACAGTTCTGCTGCACACACACTCTCCCCCAATTTAAAGGGTCTCCAGAAAAGATAAATATTGTCGTAAGGCCGTTAATTGATGTTTGGATCTTATTGGCATAGTTGAATTTGTTATGCATCATTGTAGACTTATTTCTGAGGCAAAGAAAAAAGCGAAATGGGAAAGAGAAGGTAGCCAAGCCCTTTCTCTTCACTTTGCTGTGAGTATGTATGTATGTATGTATGTATGTATACATATACACATATGTATAGTCAAAATGTGGTGACAGAATCAAACAGCATCTCTGTGTGGTCTGTGATGGTTCATTGTTTCAGAGAAACCTTGTTATTAAAAAGGAAGAAACCACCTGGTCTGTGGCTGGATTCGCCCACAGTACCACAACTGATGGTTTTGTTGGTTTTACTGAGCTGTGTCTGTCTGGAAGTATTGCTCATTTTAGAATACCATGTAAGAAAAGAAATATTGAATTGTTTTTTTAATGCTTTGGAGTAATAGGCATGGTGGAGTTTTTAAATTAACCTTTCTGAGTATGGTTCAAAGTGCTGGATAATGAAGGTAGATCAACCTCACACCCCTATTACCCTGGGGATGCTAACATCACCCACTATACTATATATCCCCATTACCCTGGGGATGCTAACATCACCCACTATGCTATACATCCCCATTACTGTAACTGTGGATGAGAACATCACTTCCTACCACTACCCTGCAGGCCAAGGGACTCAGGCAACAGGACCCTGAAATATCTCTCTAAAATGGGGGGGGGATTCTTTGGGTTTAGAATGCTTTCTTTAAGTCAGAACTTTAAAGGGTTTTTAGTATTTGACAAAATGCAAAGGGAGGGGACCAACAAGCTCAGGGAAGTGCTTTTGGGGGGGGGTAACATAATCAAAACAACTAGATGGATTTAAAGTGTTTAAGTGAACCCAGCACCAGCCTGAGTTGATGCAGTTTGCTCAGAGACTGTGAAGGGAGAAAGTGCTCCTGGCTCCTCTGTCCTTCCTCCAGCTGACAGCCTGGCATTGTGGAGAGGCCTGTGGGACCTTCACAACCCTAAGTATATAAAGGATGGGGGAAATACAGCCTATGTGAGTCTCAGTAGTGAACTAATTGTGTGAGGCTGCTCCCTCAGTGGCCCTGGTTCAGTGTGGTCCCGGTGACAGGTCTCCTGAGTCTAGGGCAAGGCTGATATGGCAAAGGGAAGGGATGAGAAGGTTTGTGCTTTAGATGCAGAAATGCAATTGATCAGCTCCCCCTCCCCCAGAAAAGGGTTTACTGTGAAGTCTAAAGTGCAGAGGCTAAAGTTATGGAGGCTGTGAGGTCTTCAGACACCAAGCAACAGACCCAAGGGGGTAACTGGACCCTTCTGGACCCTCCAGAAGTGAGAGCAGAGAAGTTTTGCCCAGCCTTCCAAGTCACTTGTTCTGTCTCAGGGTTCTGGAATATGTGCATTGAGGACACTGGCAGCCAGAGACCAGACAGAGCCAGAGGGCGCTACATGGGCCCTGTGGACAGGTCCAGCATTGGGGGCATTTCATGTGACCTAAGGGCACACTCACAAGGCCGCCGCCCTGTGAGAGAAAAGAGGGGGAGCTAATTAACCAAATGCTTCTAATATTTTTTTAAATGAAACTATAAAACCCTGTCAATTTCTATTTCAATTTACTCACAGGGGCTATTAAACTAGCAGATCGCTGTCTGGGTTCCGGGTATGCTACATTTCACCCATTGGGAAGGGGGGGCAATGTTAAAAACTCAGGGGGAAATGACTACAGAAAAAGAGAACGAGGGGGCATCTAGTTGTGGATTTGTTTAGTTGCCGTGTGGGCGTCTAGTTCTTCACAGCTTGGCTCTATAACCTCCCATCACCTCTACCACCCATGAGTATCAACATATAAAGCTTTTCAGTGAACCCTACACACACACACACACACACACACACACACACACACACACACTATGCTCAAACACACCCTTGTGTCTTAAAGCAATCCCTGGTATCACTTTTAACTAAAGAAGTCTAGTAATTATGAGTCTGAGTTGTTTTTCTGCGCTTCCGCATGCAGTCCTAATTAAATCTTTACGATCCTCCCTGTGACGATTAAGCGCCAGCATGCTGCGTGAATATCCTGTACAAAAACCCAGCAGGCGGCCGTAATTAGATAGAAAATCAGACAAGAGCCTTCTCATTAACTACCACAACTACCCCACGTCGCTGATGAGGCGTAGATACATATTTGCGCACCAACATGAGCGAGAGGTGTGGGGGCTTATGGGTCCAGGACCGTACGTGATGGGTTTTGCTCCCACAAACACGGGCAAATATTTCTGTCCTGTCTGGATGGACCCGGAGCCATTGGCAACAGACTCACGAGTTTAGAAAAGGGCGATGTGAGTGTGACCGTGCCTGTGTGTGTGACAAGGTCCCCTGGAAACTTATGAACAAGTTTCATGAAATATTTTTCAGGCGACTCTTCACTATTAAGGTGTGTATGGAGGTCTACAACGTAGGGAACAGCTCTAACGAAGAAACACCCACCCCTAGCTTTCTAAGAGCAGCAAGGTGTCTGGTAAAAATGAAAAGAAAGAAGTGAGCATACCCTCCCCCCACCCGCTGGCCATTCCATCTCTGTTCTCAGGCCACACTTGCTAAGTTGTGGCAGGCCTTGTTTTTTTTTTTTCTTTTCTTTTTTTTCTTGTGATGGACATACACCCTGTTCAAGGAAGCATCCTGAATGGGTAGGAAGTGCTGGGGAAACACTTCATTCCCAAGATCTTCATACACTTCTTTACAGAGTGGGTGACAAATTGGTTCAGACTTAAGTTCCTAAGGATCAAGCGAAGTCGTGGGATTCGGGAAGGCAGTGTGCATTGTCTTTGGAAATGGGGAGGGTGAAATCATTGCTTCTTGACACCCTGTGATGCACTGCTAGAAGGCCGGTTCCCAGGCATCCTGACAGCTAGGAACTCACTCCAACAACTCTTCTCTCAGAAGTGCTGCCAGTTCTGAGCTGAAACTTCCCCTCTCTGGGATGAAACTGAAGATTGATATTGCTTGTGATTACCAAGGTGTTGACTAGAAGGATCCAGTTCTTTTGACAGCGTGTGTACCATTATGTGTGCCTGTTTCTATAGTTACTGCCTTCCTGACAGGTGTGCACCTTGCTGGGCGGCTTCACCAGCGTGGTGGGAGGGTGTGTAGGGACTATGCAGGGACTGGCATCGTGCACCAAGAAGCTCAGAGCTCACAGAAACACAGAAACGTGTGTGTGTGTGTGTGTGTGTGTGTGTGTGTGTGTGTGGACTGCAGTGACTGTGAGGTCCTGGAGGGTTTTGTATCGCTGTTTGCATTCCATTCCAAATTGCTCAGACTTTAATTAAAATCCCATAATGTAAACTATTATGTATTTGTAAAACTGGCTCTGGGGTTAAATACACTAGGATAGAAGGAAAAACCGAAATTGCTCTTAACTTATATTGGTGAAAAATCTTTCAGTTGTTGCCAACTTTTCACAATTCATATGGGCACGTAATCTAAAAGTTTACATGCCTGTGTGATATCTGTGTTTCAGATAATAACAAAACCAATACTGCATCCCAGCTGTCCCTCATATATTCTGCTTTCCTTTTTTTTCTACTGGGAGAATTTACCATTTCAGTGAATTTCATTTCTCTGTCGATTTGGAGATAATAAGGATAATAATAAAACCTCCTTTGCGAATTAATATAAATGGAAATAATAGAAACTCCCGTTTAGAATGACATGATTTATGTATGCAATTCTTTAATATCCAGTCAATTTGAATGGTGATGTTTTTATCTTCACAGTCAGTTGAAGATGCCAATAACAGCGGCATGAACCTATTGGACCAGTCAGTCATTAAAAAAGGTATGGATTGTTCCTTCCAAAAGTAAGCAAAGATTTCAATGTCTGTATGTTGAACTTTCACTTTGGGGGTATTCATCATTTTATATCACAAAACAATGTCTGTTGAAATCAGTTTAATGACTATCAGACTAGGTAAAAGGGTATGCTGGGAAAAAGAAAATGGGAACAAGCAGAATGGAAACTCAGTTAGAAACCAGGATTGGAGAAATAGAGCTATATTGACAATTGCCATTTATTTTCATAATACATCAGGTAGCCATTCTAAATGCATCTTAGATGTCTGAGCCATTATGATGTGTAGAAACAGCTGGGAAGCACTGGCTTCAAAAATGTTCTATTGTTATGTGGTTGATAACTGGATTTAGCTATGTTAAAGTCTGTGTCGAGGGGGTAGCTTTCCCCCCTTGTTTTTGGTTTGATTTCTTTTTTGGTGGTAATTTTGGTACCAGTTCTCTGTGTCTTATGAGTTGTTACTTTTTATTATTATTATTTTAATTGTGCCAAATGCTTTGCTAAATATGCTCACCCTGAGAGGCTGAGGCAGACTAGGCATGCATCTAGATCTTCCTGTGTATGCACTCGTGATTGACTGTGGCATCACCCCATACTGTTAAAGGGCATGTGATATTAACAAATGTTTGCAGTCTCTTGTACAGCTGTAAGCAAAATAATTAACTAATTAAACTAATTAAATGTAATTACAATAACTCATTTCAGGCGTATTGCAGCTGCTTAATTTTTTTTTTTTCCTGCTCTTCTCTGACAGTCACTGAGAGAATGTCTGACGATTAGAGTAGCTGCTTCCAGGCCCGAATGTCACTCACACGCCACAAATTTAAGAGTTCGAATGTGTACACAGTGCGGTCTTTAATTATCATACGGATTGGTATTGGAAAACACAGATTTAATGACTATAGTCCTTTCTGATTGAGGTTAGAGGAAGATGGTCCTTATGTTTGGAGTCAACAGTCCCCAACTTCAGTCATTTGTGACTCACTTGAGCCACTTAACACTCACAAAAATAATTAAAGAAAAAGATAATTTAGAAAGCCATCCATCCAGCCTCAAATTGGAGAAGTGGTTGGCAGCTTGTGGAGTAAGAATCCCAAAAAGGTTAAGAGGATGCTCAATTTCCTTCCTCCAGAAAGGCATGGATCTGTAGCTTTGTGAGGTAGACAGGGAAAACGGTAGCCGAGTGATGCCTTTTGGTTTTGGAATGATTTTTAAAATAGGCTTTAAAATGTTGCCCAGTATTTCTCCACCTCTTCTTTAGGTAATGCCTCCTTCAGCTAGTACTCTCAGGATGCGAGCTCGGGCTGGCAGCCCTGCTGACTGCTCACTTTCCCTGGTTCCTCTGGAGTCTTCTCTTTTGGTTAATTGCTGGTTGATTGGGGTGGGTGAGGGAGGAGCTTTCCTGTTCCCTTTTGTCATTGTTATTTTAATCCCCCCTCCCTTTCTTGGGGGGGGGGAAGCTAGAACAGCTTAGCTCAGGGTTCCGTATCCTAGCAACATCAATTTGCTGGCAGAGGGACATGCCCAGCAGGTGACCAATCAGAAATGTTATTAATAGTCAGGCCAATAAAAATATTTGGGACTTAGCTTGCCCAGCAAAATGGGATTCACAATTTTCTTAGATGTGGGAAGCATTGGTTGCAGTGTTTAAATATGTTTGCCAGAGAAACATGAATATTTATGCATGAGGTTGTTTCCAGAGATAAAGGAGACCGGTGACTAAAGTTGCTTGCTCTGTTTTTCTGAGACTGCCACATGTTCTACCCCAAAGCTTTTAAAAAAAGCATTCGCAGCTTAAAAAACTGAGGTAACACCCTACTCATGTTAATTGAGTTGGGGTGAGTAGTAGAAATACAGACGTTAGGTTGGTTCTATTATTTGATACTTGAAATGTTTGCTTTATTACACGAAGAAGAGATCCTAATATCACATTTTTATCTTTTTAAAGCCATGGGCAAAAAATGAACAAATGTTTGATTTATTTTTCTAACTCACCAGGAACCACTTAAAATAAAGTTATGGGTTCATTAGCTCCTTCCCAGCCTCTCATCTCTCGTCTTTGCATAGTCTCATCCCCATGAGGGATGCTTCTGTGAGATTAATTCTGTGGAGAGGTGAGAAAGTTTCCTGAACTGAATATTCTAAATTTCAGCAACTAGCAGGGGACTTGGTTGCTTAATTTGTTTTCCAATGGGCATGTAGACAGTTTTTAGAAAATTATGCTTCATTAGTAAAAGGCCAGCAACTGGTCTACATCTACACATCTTTGCTCCTATATTTATGGAGCCTAACAACCTAGGCATAAAAGATGTATTTATCTATCTTTGTGTCTTTCTGTCCAGTTGTGTCATGGCCGCTCCTAAAATTTAATCCATCTAATTTTTCTTCCCTGTTGACATCACCTCATACATTATAGACTCCCTCTCTTGTTATGTTTGCTGTGTGGGCTTAGCTGACATTTCTGAAGTAATTTAGTTAAGAGGAAATGAGTTGTTCCCAGTAGAGAGAGCAAACGAGTGGAGTGAAGGTAGCCAGCGTGATAAATGGCTCTTTCATTTGAAGATCTCCAGAGCTCGTTTACGGCTAATTTTCTGTATTGGCCCCCTTTGAGCTATTAATGCAATCGGCAGGGACCGTGGCCCCTCTCTTCTTAGCTGCCCCATTAGAGCTCCCATTAAGCTGCCGAGTCTCAACTCTGTGGCAGGAGTTGGGGAGGGGGGGAGTAATGAAAGGTGCTTTTTAAACTCTCCTAATCTAAACCGGCAGAGGGTGGTTAATACGATTTGAAGGGGGCTGGTCAATGAGCAATCAATAAAGTAATAATGAGAAGGATTCGGTACATTAACAGTCTAAAAATCCAACGAGACATTAAAAAATCATTCTGAACTCTCAGTTCCATTAAGATTAGGAATCTGGGTGGGGAGGGGTGGGGGGGTGCCCAGCTAACATAAATGATCATTCCCGTCTTTTTATGGCTTAACTTAAAGGACTTACCTAGGCTTGAAGAAAGGGGACTTGGAATCAGTGACCAACATACAATCTATTTGACACATTAGACAGCAGAAAATATGTCAGAATTTCTTGGAAAGGTTATTGAGGCCTGAGTCCAAGGTTCAAATTCTGTGTCTGTGGGCCATTTTTGTTGGTCTTATGGATATCCTGTTGGGTTACTTTTAGTTCAACCTCCACTCTCTCCCATGTTTTCTCCATTAGTTCTGGCCCCTTTTCCACACAAACACTTCGGTGTGAGTTTTCTTGGAGAGGAGGAATATAAAATTGCCAAATTTCAATTCTAGCAGACTCCTTTGAGATTCTTCCTATTGCCTAGAAGGAATACCGCAACGTGAGTCTGAGCCCAGGAAAGTTGTGTTTCCTCTCAAGAACTTCACTTTTCCAGAGAGAGAGAGAGAGAGAGAGAGAGAGAGAGAGAGAGAGAGCACAGGAAGGATCAGAAGACATAGAATTTCAAAACTGGAAAGGTCAGACATTCCTTTCCGTTCCCCCTAAGTGTGGGAATTTGCAAGTGCACAGACTGAGAAGAGAAATGACGTTCTCAAGGTCAGATGACACTCTAAAAACACTATGAGATCCATTGAGATTTCAGGATCTCATATTCTGCCATTAAAGAATGTCAACACTAGATATTGGGGAGTGTGTGTGAGTGTGTGTGTTTCTTCTTGGCACAATTTTGGTGCCCACCTGTATACACCTGCTGAACTTGTTGAATAAAATGTACACAAGAAGGAGACTTCAGAGGATGCAAATTTTTGCAATAGTTTCTCAATCATGAGAAGTGATTTTACTTTTAGGGTATTCTATCTCTTGGTTGCTTCCCAATGTAGCTCTCAAAGTTGTCAGTTTTTTTTTTCCTGAGGGGGACACACAGCTTTAATGTGTGAGGCAGGTTAATTTCTTCCTCTCTTTCTACTACAGGTCTTGTCATCTACAGTTTCTCCTATTTTCAATTTCATTCTGAAGTTGCTTTCTTAAAGAGAAATTAAGTACTAGCCCACTAATCTCTATATAGTCTACTACTGAACAAGGTTTTCTCTAATTTTCCTTCATTTTTCTTAAAACTTCACTCACAGCAGAGAAATATTAATCCATTCATGATATGTTTCTTTTCTGGAATAATTCATGGGAAAAGGAAAAGGAAAGGAGAGAGAGAGAGGGAGACAGAGAGAGAGACAGAAACAGAGAGAGAGAGAGATCTAGACCTTACCATCAATCTAAGAGCTGAAGAGAGGGAATACCCACTTTTTAATGTTTGCACAGAAAATTGTAAACATGTACAGGACCTAAAGCTTCATGCTGAGTCTTTCTATGCTCCATTTCCTTAGCATTTCCTGCTGTCGCTCTAAACCTGGATCAGGCATCTCTGGGCTCCCTGAGCAGGAGCAATGTGCTCATAATTACTAACAAATCAACTGGGCCCTGTTGCTTTCTGGGTTTATTGATAAGCTGGAGAAGAGCAGAAGGGGAAAGACAAAGGGAATAAAATACAGGGCTAATCAGCGGAGCTAAGCAGGTGTGAGGGACAAGGGGAAGGTGAGAGGAGCTGGAAGCTATTGGGAAGGAAAGCCAGGAAGAGAAATATGTAGGGTGTGGTCTGGGAAATCCATGCTGAGTCAGGGGTTGGGACGTGAGTTGGTGTTAAAACCTGAGGACAGAATGTAAGAACATGATTTTGATAGAAAATGGAGATATGATTGAAAACACTTGTTCACCTTGTGAGTTTTTATTTCTTCATGGATGAGGCAATCTTCCTTAGGTGGACATGTGGCACATAAGCAGTTGTGCACATTTCTGTGTATATGTGCAGAGAGGTACAGTCCAGGGGAGGGAGTCACTGACTGTGTCTAAGGGAAACAGCTCCTACCAGTTGACTCGGGCAGTCAGCAATAGGACAGTTAAAGAACTGAGTATAATGTCTTCCTGAAGGCCTAAGTTTTCAAGAAATTTGGCATCTGGGAAATAGAAAACCAGGGACATTACTGTGTAAGAGATACTGGTCATTATGCATAACATCAGCTGTTGGTTTACTGGACCTGTTTTGTTATGAAAATATTCTAAGCAATGCCAAAGATAAAAATGCTGCCAAGTATCCAAGGTGAGACCTTTGACATAGTTTATTGCTATAGTTCTCTTGCTAAAACTGCAAAAAGCTATCTACTTTTAGGGAAAGCTTTTCCCAAACTGATGTCACACCACTGAGCACCAGTATAGAATTGTATATGATGACTCAAATATGAATCTGAAATATAGGCATCAGGAATGCTATGAGAGTAGATTAAAATACAGGTGCATGCTGTGTACAAAAATTAAGTGGCAGAAAGGACTCGAGTCCAATCACCCAATTACAAATAGACTTATGAATTCTAAGGGTTACTCGGGTTTGATGAAAAGACTTTGACATTTTGCTGCTTTACTCTCAAATGGGAAGCAATCCCTTGAGAAACTATGGGGAGAATGTCCAGAAAACCAAAACTGCTTTGGACTGTACCCCTCCTCCCCAGGACAGTGTAGAAAATGAACTGTGTTCTAACCTATTCCTCCAAGGAGACCAGGTCTTGGGCATCCACAACAGGTCCGGAAATTCCAATGTGTCTGTCAAGAGGTGGTCAAAGGGAATGCTTTAGTGTCTAAATCCACTCCCTTAAGGAAGCTCTTTTCACAAGGTTTTGGAATACACCAAATCAAATTAATAAGCACCTAACTTTTGGAACTCTCTCAATAACCATGGAGTCTGAATGCTGAAATCTGTGACGTAAAAAGTCAACTGAAAGAGAAACACAGCCTTCTCTATCTGTCTTGCCGAAGAGAAGTTAGACATCTTTTCCCATAAAATCCTGGACTCATGTGGTAGCATGTCTCTTTTCCGCCCAGATTTACAGAGTGTGACATGGCCGTGATTAGACAAGCAGGGCAGGTTACTTTTCTTCCGATACTAGATATATATTTCCATGAATTCTCCTTGTAAGAAAGCAGCATGGGAGAAGTAGGACAAATCAGGAGAAAGTCCAAAGGGCACGCCTGCCAGGACAGTGTTTCCCAGCCTTCCACCTGGCTCAGCCTCTTCCTGACATGCAGATGACACGGAAACACAATTAAGCCTAAATACAGGCTGAATGCACCAGGGTAGCAGTGGCAACCAGCTGTCAGCTCTTATTAGCTGCTGCATAAAACATACCTGGAGTGTGGTTTGTTATCAATTACTTGCTGAAACGAAACAACTGGGGCAAGGCAAGACCGCCACCGCTCACGCGAATTACAGTGATTGGTTGATTGATCAGGGCACCTGTTGTAAATCATAACTGCTCAATCACGAGCGGGTGCTTTAATTTGTAAACAAAATTCACTCACGTCGCTGCTGAATTGCTCTCACTGGAGATGAGCATTTGGGTATGGTTCTAAATGAATCTCGCTGTGGTTTTTATGCCGGGGTAAAAATAGGTTTCATTATCACAGAAAAAGCAGCTCTCTGCCCACCTCACCTCCCCACCCCCATCTTTAGTGATGGCCACAGGTTTGGGTCCAGTCAGAGAGGAGGAATTCCTATAAAGATCACGGACGTTAACATTGGATCTCAGAGAGCGGTGAAATTAATCTTCACTCTCAAGTACCTAATGAGACAGTGTTAACCTGGGAGGCCTGACAAGGAAACTGAGATCAGGAGTCTGCGAAGTGTCCAAGGTCACACTAGAAGCAGGCGACCGAATAGGCTTTGCCTAGATTCACAGCGTGATCCAAGGTCGAGGTTGAGTGTTTCCCTGATGTGTGGTGAACAGGGCTATGGCAAGCGACACTCATGTGAACTGTCATCTGGGGTAAGTTTCCACAGGAACGGTGACATTTGGGTCGGTTCACAGCCCTGGGAAGGCAATGCAGCTGGGAACAACTGGAGTAGCTGACTCCCCCCTACACTTTCCACTTGGTGGCTGCCACGTGGCCTTTCCAGATGCCTCGTCCTATCAGTCAGGAGGGTTGAAGCTCAGTCACCTTTATGGCAACATTTTCCCCCTCTCTCCGTCTCTCCCTAGTTCCTGTCCCTCCCAAATCTGTCAGTTCTCTAATGATGAATAAAGATGGCTTCTTGGGAGGAATGTCAGTCAACACCGGCGAGGTGTTTTGCTCAGTTCCAGGCCGTTTATCCCTGCTCAGTTCAACTTCAAAATACAAGGTGACTGTGGGAGAAGTTCAGAGACGGCTTTCGCCCCCTGAATGCCTCAACGCGTCTCTCCTTGGCGGCGTCCTCAGAAGGTAAAATAAAATAAAATAAACAACAACAAACTACACACACACACACACACACGGAGAAGGGTGCTGTGGACACCGAGGGAGAAAGTCCGATGCAGTTGCCTAGCAACCCGGAATCTAAGCCCAGCTTTGTGTGACGCCACAGGAAAACTGTGGAAGCTACTAGCAGGGTGTACAGCCTTCAAGAGCTAAATTCTCAAACGCAAGCCCCACCCATCGCAGACCTTTCTGCGCATGCGCAACGCTCCTAGCCAATTCAGCGTTAGAAACCTTTCACTCTCTTGCCAACTAAGTGAATTCATATCTGGGGCATTAGCCTGAGTTCAAACCTGAACCTATCTTCCCCACCTCACCTGAAACAGAAAAGGCGGTTTTAATAATGCTTCCCATGTACTCTCCACTTTACTAGTTAAAAAAATACAGATGGCGTGTAGCTAAATTGGTCTCCTGATCAATGCCCTAGTACATTGTGCTTCCCATTTTGTAAAAACTCTTCTCTACTCAGTCACCTTCCTGCAATAGCATCACATCTCACAAGGTCAATACTCTTCTACAATGAAAAGTAGTCATTTTCTGGGGGCCCTGTAATTGCTCTTCAACACTGCAACCCATGGATAGGCTCCTGGTGAAAGTGGAGAAAGAAAGGGTTGTTGTGCCAACATCTGGACCCTCTGGTTACGTGACTTTGTATGAGACAGAACTTTCTGAAGTCAACCCACTTGACATGTTGACTATCCCATTCTTTCCTAAAAGTGAGTGGTTGAGAAGCACATCAACATGCCTCATGCATGGCAACACTTCCCTTTTATTTTTATTCAGTCCTTAGAGGATATGGGAGCCTAGAGGGAAGCTAATGCTGTTGTTGTGACCCACACCGGGTCTTACTGTGACTCTGCTTCCACTGTCCTTGTTTATTTTCAAGTTAGTCTTTTCAGTTCTGAGTCAGGATGGTGAGAGTTATTATTACTATTACTATTATTATTATTATTATTATTATTATCATTGATTTTTTGAGACAAGGCTTCTCTTTGTATCCCTGGCAGTCTTAGAACCAAGAACTCTCTCTGTAGACCAGGCTAGCCTGGAACTCAGAGATGTGCCTGTCTTTGCCTCCCAAGTACTGGAATTAAAAGTGTGTACCCGCATACCCCAGCTTCCAGAGTGAGGATGTTCTAATTCAATTCCTGAACATGAGTGTATAAAATTTATGAACTGAGATAGTGAAGATAAAGTGTTTATCATAGTAGCAAGCTTCAAAGTGTTGGTACTGTTGCTATCGTAACAAACATTACATGATTACAAATGTCAATCCTCTCTCCCCTTCTAAAATGTCTCCATTATGCTGTTGGTTTTTGGTTCCTCCTTTAGAAGTCTACCTGTTTCTGGAAACTAGCCCTTTTCTTTCTTTCTTTTCTTTTTTTAAAGCTTGCCTGGATTCTGCTCTCCTCACCGGCTCCATGGCCAGTGAACCTCTGCATGCATATGACCAATATTTACTTTTTCTGCACCTACTACCCTACATTCTAATTATTCCCATCTGGTATCTTCCCCCAGTCCCCACACAAACACAAGATTTTTTTTTTTTTAGACAGACTTACTTTCTATGCTCTGTATTGCAGAAATTAAGCAAGCCTCAGCAAACTCTCAGCAAATAACTGAAAGGAAGGGGTGCAGCAGTGCTAACCTCAAGTTAAAACCCCTTCAAGCTCCACTGGGCTCTAGATTGCTAAGTCTAAACTTTGTTTCAGGAACACTCGGAGGTTAATCAGAATGTTAATTCTTGCAATTGCAGAGCCAAATCGAAAAATGGGGGGAGATCCTTGAGAGAAAGGCTAGAAAAAATCGGTTTGAATTTACCCGCGGGCAGGCGCAAAGCAGCGAATGTCACCTTACTCACCTCCCTGGTGGAAGGTAAGCAAGACTCGGAGCCATTTCGCCAAGTAACTGAGCTTAACTGTCGGCTGGAGGCTGACATTTTACATGCTTCATGATTAACTGGAAATCATTGTGATTGCTGTGCCCTCATGAGTTGGGTGTCAAGGGATTGCAGGAGAGACGATCAGAGGTCTTTTTTACTTAGAGGAGGCTAGCAGCGGCAGGGAAGCAAAAACAAGGGATATAAAAGTTCCTGTGCTCCAAACAGGGATCAGGCCTAATCTCCAAGTCAAAGAAGGGGTCATTTCCCTGGCCATAGAGGCTGAAGCATCCTCTGCTTGAGCTCCTGTTATAACATCTCTGTGAGCTGCAAAAGTGTTTACCGATAAAAAGCAAGTGAGGCTGGGGAGGGGAAAGGCACTTGCTTTCAACCCTGACCACCTGACATCCACCCCCAGGTCCCACAAGATGGGAGGAGAGGTCTTCCCTGGTTTCCCTCCCACCTCTACACACTCACCCCCAATAAATGTAATAAAAATTAAAAGACATAAGAAAACATGTAGAGTTCATGAATCTTAATGGTTATTGTAAAACTCATGACCGGTCCAGGGTTCTGTCACCCAACTTGTAGGACTTAAAGAGATATTGATACCTTAGTAAGTCCAGCAATGCTTAAGAGAAAACTGCGGGGGGTGGAGGAGTGGGAGGGCTAAGAGAAAGTTTTGAGAGGCAAGTTGAATTCTCAAGGAAAATTCATTGGTTGTGGATTAAAAGGCCACAAATTTACTAAGAAGCTTCTCATTTGCTGTCAGTTTGGGTTTTCAGTTGAAATCTAGGGCCAGTAATAATTAAGATCATCTATGCTGCCTTGAAGAAGACTGTCTACTGTTGAATGTGTAGAGGGGACAACAAGAAACACAGCCAAGTGGTCCACATGGAAGATGGTGGATAATTTTCTCTGGAGTCTTCCTGTGTCCTGTTTCTGTTCGTTTGTTTCTCCTCCATATTTTCATAGATTATGACATTAGGGCTCTTGTAGGGAGTTGGTTCTTGCTGGATATCATGTTATGTTATCGAAATAATGCCATGAAGAGCGCAAAAAGTTGCAGGTACTGCATATCACCATCTTTAAGGCAAAGGGTTTTGGCTTAAACTCACTCACCAGAGGCCTTAAGTCTCCACGTTTTTAAATCCCACTTGTTAGTGGTTGACTCTTCTCTGCCTGTGAATATCCCATTTTGCTTTTAGGGAATCATTAATATCACAAGCCTCATTTTTGAAACAGTCAAGGTGATCTTAACAGGAGATAGACACTCTGGTATGGAGGGGAAGAAACTGGAAATCACACCAAAATGATAATATTTGGTGTACAGTTTGGGTACTATGAAACCTTGTAAGCATTGTGCTTGAAGTCTTTTGTTATTATGATATCACTAAAAGCAAGTCACATTCCTTCAAAATAATCTATCTGTGAGATAATTCAACACCCTCCCCCCCTTTTTTTTTCTGTGTTTGTGATCTTTCCTTAGTCCCCAAGGCTGTGCCCTAAGAGGTAGCAGTGCTTTATCCCTGAAGGGTCTTCCTCCTAAGCTCTAGAATGCCTAGTGTGTCCTGGTGCCTGCAGTTATGCATTTGTGCAGTAACAGGTTTTGATAGAGGAGCAGGGTGACAGCAAGCTCTGAAAGAGAAAAACCTGGACACAGGCAGAAAAGTGCCCGGTGAACTGGAGAGTGAATAATTATTTTGCTGCTGAATAGAAATACTCTTCAAGCACATGTTACACGCAGTTATTAATATTCAGCAAGGTTTGCGTGCATGGATGTGTTTATGCATGTTAGTTATAAGAATGAGACAATTTGCCTAATAGAATTGTAGGAGGACGGTGCCACTTCCACATTTCATTTCAAGCAGGTATAGCTGGTGCTTTAAGTAAGACAGAGGAGACTTGCTGGCAAATCCCGCTAAATGTCTAGATCCAACTGCAAGGTGGCTCTTGAGCCCCTGAGCCAAAGTGAGTGAGTTGCAAGAGGAACCCTGCGTCTCTTTGAGGGGGAGGGGTGAATTGCAGTGTCTGTCTAGAGCCCGGTTGATTGAGTAAGCCTTGTCCTGTTCTCTTTAATTATGAAGTTCTTCTTTACTTTATCGGTCTTGGGTTTGAGTTTGTTCCATATCTGTCCTAAGGTGTTCATGACCTGGGTGTTGACGCTCTGCTGCTCTCCTTATAGGGGAAGCTGTTCACTTAGCTCGGGACTTTGGGTATATTTGCGAAACAGAGTTTCCTGCTAAAGCCGTGTCCGAGTATTTGAACAGACAGCACACGGACCCCAGTGACCTACACTCCAGAAAGAATATGCTTCTGGCCACCAAGTGAGTTCCCAGGTTCCCGGGCCCTGCCTGACCCACTAAGGAAACTGTGGAGAGGGGAGCCGTGCAGCCTCTCTGGTTTGGGTTCAAAGTGCCTTGTCAGGAAGGATGTCTGTGCCTGTGTGTGTGTGTGTGTGTGTGTGTGTGTGTGTGTGTGTGTGTGTGTGTTGATGAGGTAGACTTGAGGGTTAAGGCTTGGCCCAGTCCTGTTCCCGGTATACAAAGAGAAAGTAGGCTTTTAACTGTTTTCTTCCAGACACCAGGGGTGTCAGGCAGATTTTTCCCCAATCTCTTCCCAGACCCTAGGTGAATATTTCTGTTTGGGCTTTGCAGTGGTCTCCCTTGCCATCAGAAGGACAGCCATGTGTGTTCGCTCAGGGTGTCTATATGTCACCCATGTGTGCCCATCTCTACCCGCAATTCTAATTACTCCATTTCCAACGTTGCTGTTTGTCATCTTCCACGGACTTGTAAAATTTACTACAGCTCCAGAGGGGAAAACAGTAAATCTCTGGCTAAATTTAGGTCTCGAGCTCATTTGAACATTTACAGTGGGTTTTCTATTTATTTGATTTACTCCTGTCTTTGGCTTCGGTGTCATATTGTTGGTGTTTTATGACCAGCTCAGGCCTGCAGTGGGCGGCACTGCGTGCACCAGCACGTTTCTCTCGCAGGCGCGGTCTAAACAGCAGCGCTCATTTATTTAGCGTTCCAGGACGCGGTTTGTTCCGTTGACAGCGTAATTTAAAGAAATATATGGAAGGCTGAAAAATCATTTGCTCAAATTTGTCCAGATGTTTTTGAGACGTGATTGGAATTTGATTGTCCCTTTCCGCAGGGTCAAAAAATATTAATGTCCCAGAAGTTTAATTGCTTACAGAGCCTGGTTTGGGCTGTGTAAATTTTAAATCCTCGACTCTTAAAACATTTGTTCTCCGCACTACAAAATTTCTTTTTTCGGCACTTTGGAAATGAGTACAAACTTAAGGAACTACTTTAATCATCTTTCCCAACGATCAAAACCTGGCACACGCCCTCATTTTAGAAAGATTTCTGTTTATGTGCCATCTAGCCATGTAATAGTATTTTGTTGGTGAATATATGCTCTTACCCCCTTGCTCAGGAACCTGAGAGTAACGACCAGTTGTGTTTTATAAATGAAACAGAGAACTTTAGGGGGAAAAACAAACAAACAAACAACAACAAAGCTTAACAGGTCTAAAGCAGGTAACAAGATCCAAAGAACCTCCTAGTTTCCTAAAGGGGTGGTTTGACACCTCCCACCCACTCACCAGGAAGCCTTAGGACTTTTAAGGAAGCTACTTTTTAGCCTAGGGTATCAGAACCACCTTGGGAGCTTTTCCACCTTATTTATGTCTGGACCCAGATGGAAGGGAGGTGGTTCAGAGCCTGGAGCGTGCACGTGAAACTCACTGAGAACAGCCCTATTGGGTGAGCAAAATCACTTGCTGTGGGGATTTGTGGATGTGTTCTGAATGAAGACCTTAGAGGGTAGGCAGACTCTCTATCAGTTGCTCTCTATCCCCCAAGTTTGCCTTGAGAATGTCTGTCAATCTTTCCATTGCTGTCAGTGGGTGGAAAAGGGATTCCTTATTAGGTTTATTGCCGGCCCTGGGCAACATGGAAGCACTCTGGGGAAGGGTGCCCCAAGGGTCTTTCAAACACAGAAATCTGCCCTGTTTACCTGCTAGTTAGGCCAACGTGTCCTCTCAGCCATTTCTGGGCTGTCTGAGTCCACTATGATATACAAGTCTGCTTCTCTTGACATTCCACAGAACCCAGGCTGGGCGAAGGCAGGTGGTCAAGAGAAGTATGCCAATCTGAGAAAGGCTTTGGCCTCTGGGATGCCAGGCTTCAGCTTGCCAGCAGAGACAAGCTATTTGACCTTCAGGGCTAATCGCCTCCTGTCCATTTCCTATATTAAAAATCTCTCAAATAAGCCCAATCCACAGTTAGGCCCACAGGGTTCCTAAGGCATGGAGATTTCTCTAAATTGTAAGTGCCTTGAGGAAGTAAAATCCTAAAAACCTTCAACAAATAAGAATCTAGCCTCCCTTGTGTCTTATCCATCTACCTTTAAATTTTATTTAAACTATGCAGAAATCTTTTTATATTGACAACAATCCTGTTAAACAAAGAGTTTTAGTAGCTTACATTGTAAAATTGCAAAAAAAAAAAAGGGTGGGACACTTTTTTTTTAAAAAAAAAAAAGAAGGGAAGAGATATCTCGCTTCCAAAATGCTGCAGGTAAAGGGGTTTTGCTTCGAAAGGAATCAGCATTTTCTTCTAGAATAAACAGGTTTTTGCCCTGGGCCATGCAAGGTTCCAGCAATCTGCCTCGGTGCCAGGGACAGACTTGTGGCTGAGGGGTTTTAAATCTTTCAGGTTTGTGTGTGTGTGTGTGTGTGTGTGTGTGTGTGTGTGTGTGTGTGTGTGTGTGGCGGAGCGCCCTGAAGGTTGGAAAGGCAAGGAGGGGAAATAATTAAAGGAAATGTCACGTATCAGCCAAAAATTATTGACTATTCGAAATCAAAAGCCAAAATGCCTAGCGAATTTCCTAAAGCAGAATACAGTTGGTCCGGGAAGGGAGAGGGAAAACGAAAGGCGTGAGGGTGGTGGAAGGGGTGCATTCCTCTCACTGGTCCCTTGCAGACCTAGCTGCTGGGTGGGGGGAGCGCTCTAGGGAAAGAAACGGCCGAATCTCTTAAGTCAGCCCGGCTGTCCACGGACCCAAGGCCCCTGGGCGTGTGTGAGAGTACGCCTGGGTTCCAGGACTCTGAGGGTGTTTTTTTCTCTTCCTCCCTCACCATCCGCAGGCAACTTTGTAAAGAGTTCACGGATCTGCTGGCGCAGGACCGGACACCGATCGGGAACAGCCGGCCCAGCCCCATCCTGGAGCCGGGCATCCAAAGCTGCCTCACGCACTTCAGTCTCATCACGCACGGCTTCGGCGCCCCAGCCATTTGCGCTGCGCTCACGGCCCTGCAGAACTATCTCACCGAAGCGCTCAAAGGCATGGACAAGATGTTCTTGAACAACACCACTAACAGGCACACGTCTGGGGAAGGCCCAGGTAGTAAAACTGGCGACAAGGAGGAGAAACACAGGAAATGAAAAAAAAAAAAATTAAAGAGAAGGAAAATGTTTTAAATACAAAAGGAAAACAGAAAAAAAATAATTTTAGCTTTAACATATTGGATTGGCTTTGGAAGAATTATATTAGGTAGAATACACATACAATCAAAATTTAAAAAAAAAAGAAAGCTAAGTAACTTTAAAAAAATAAACTGAGGCATCAACGGAGCGACAAACTGGCTCTCGGTGTCTATTTCAAGATACACAATGGAGACAACCGTCCGGATTTTCCACTTCGGTTCTTTCGAGTTTAGTAATACAGATAATAAAAGAAAACTATGAACCCCCCTTTTGGAAAATAAACATGAGACTAAACGTGAGAACACGCTAACTTATTGGAAGAAAATTGGAGAAACGTTGGTGTCAGTGCTTTGAGAGCTGGTTGACTGAGACGCACGAACTTTTACATTTTTAATTTTTTTTTTAAAGGAAACTCTCGCAGTCCGCGCGCTCCTTTCCTCCTCACCGTTCTTACTGCTGCTTCCCTCCCCCCCACCCCCGCCCCCTTCATTCGGTTCCGGGAATCTGCTGGGGGTTCCCCGCTGTGATTAGTTCTTTGGCAGTAGTGTTAGCCCCTTTGGTGTCCAGACCTCGCCTCGTTCCTAACTCCCTGGTGCCCAACTCTCCACCCCCCCCCCCGTGTGTTTAATTAAGGAGGCGTGGGGGGGGTGGGGGATGGCGCGGGGGTCGGGGGTGGGGGGAAAGGCCGTAGCTTTTGATCCGGTCTTGAGAGTCGAGACTCCCGCGGCAGAGGAAACCAGACCGATAAGTTGATTCATCATGGTTCCTTTCAGAAAACGTTCCTAGTTCCCAGACTTGCCAGCACCTGTTCACAGACTATCACATTCGTTATACTTGGGTCATCTAGCGGTAGAGTTAAAAAAAAGAAAGAAAACAAAACACGAATACTTTGATTAGTATGTAATTCCTTCGGAGGGGTATGTACCATTTCACTTTCTTCTGTTTCCCAAAGCTTTACCCGCATGGTTTATGAGCTTCTTCAAAGAAGACTTGGGCTTCCTACACAACCTATAAGGTACTGAGAAAAAAAAAAAATCCGATCCTTTTAAAGTCAAAGCCTGTGTGTCAGAATTGGGCAGGTTCACTTCTTTAAAGAAGCTCAAAAGGAATCATCTAGGAAGTGGCCAGCGTGGAGGGTGGGGGGCAGCCGTGAGTCTTCTTGCTTACACACCTCAACACAGGAATTCCCTCAGGGGTGGGTCACTGCAGAATGCCTTTTAAGGGAGTAAGCCTTCTTGGGAATCTATATTCTAACAGTACTGTCTTCACTGAAAAACGAATTGCATTTTCTTGGGCGCTTTGGGGATCGTTGTTCTAATGGAGAAAGAGGCAGCAATACGGATGTAATTGGGAAAGACAGTCGACAAATGACCGTGAGCTTTCTGAATAAAAGTGTCCCCTCTCAGACATACATTTATTTTGGCACAAAATGCATAACACCCACCACCACACCAACCACCACCACAAACACCACCACCACAGACACCACTCCAAACACTACCACGACGCAAAGTGAAAGAGCTTGTATTTCAGCCTCAAATTCCTGTCTGGATATACTGGAAATATTCCCAGTGAATGAGGATCCAAGCATTTAATAGATCTTGCTTCTCTCACCCCAACTTTTTACCCATACTGTATCTTAGCATTACCAGGAAATAAGCATGCACCTTTAGCAAGAACAGTGAAATCCTCCGAGCATTTGGCTGGTGAGATAGGTACACACTAGTGTACCTACACTTAGTGTGGGTACACTTGTTTCTTTTTCAACAGCCTTGGCGGGATCTTTGCAAAATCCTTTGGGACACAAAGCTCAGTTGCTTTCTGTGGTTTGCTATAGCTCTCCCCACCCCAAATGACCTGGACAGTCAGTTTCACCATCCCTCTATAATCTACCTTAAAGCCAGGGAAGAAGGCTAAAGTTTTAGGGACCCTCTGAGGGCTTGGCTCAGAGGGTTTTGTTTGGGGGAAAGGAAAGTCACTCAGTGGGTTTTAGGTCACTGGAGGTTGAAAGGAAACAAATGATGTCAGACAACATCCTATCTCCTATTTCTAGCTGCTTCTCTGTCCTGTGAGTTTTCAGGATACAGTCCTAGGAAAGCCGAAAGGAGTATAGAGGGCAGGAAAAAGACATTGTGTGAACTATAGACTTTCCCCAGGTTAGAAGCCCGACCCCTTTTGTCCGAGGGCCTGATGCTTGCCTTAGTTGAATTCTGATTGCACAAGGCCAGCAGAAAACACACTGAAAAACATCGTCTCCTTTCCTTGCAGGGCAACGCGCCCCACGCGTGTGACACCGAGAGACGCGATGGATGCGCCTTGCTCTTACTCCTGTGCAGGTCCTGGGAACATGTGGGCCACTGGAGCCCAGTGGTGTTGAGGACATAGAATCAGCAGCTGCTGGGGTCGCCAGTCACACGGGCCCTTCCTGCTCTCGGTCTCACCCTAAGGGCTAAGGCAACCGAGAAAGGCCAGTTCCCGAGTAGGTAAAGGGTCGGTGCCCCACTGGCTGCTGCGGGGGAGGGGAGGAGGTCCCAGAGATCCATAAAGTCCTTTTGCCGCTAATAGTCACTCCGGGTCTCACTCTAGAGACATTGTGGCCTGGAAAATTTCACAGACTTTGAAACTTCCTTTCAAAACGTGTTCTTTTCTGCCAGGAAGGAAACTGGTCTGTACCCTCCGTCTCTTGAAGTGTGGGCACGAAATAAGAACTGTCATATTTGGATAGGTAGGCTCTCTTAGATGCCTAGCTCTCTGTGTGAGCATCCGGGAAGGTTCAGGTAGATAGACTCTGCTTCCCCACCTCCCCCACCCACTCCCTTATAGTCTTCCGGCCTTCCAGTGAGTACTCAGTTTTTGGCCTTCTCCTTTCTTCTTTTTTCATGTCGGACCTCCAACTCCTTGCTTTCCTTAGCCAGGCCAGCTACGTTTATCTGATAATTGAGTTATTAAAAGATTTGGTTTCCTTGGCCTTATAAATCAATAAACAGTAGGATTAACACAAGAGTTTGCTTTTAAGTCAAGGAAAACGTTTAAGGCCAGACCCTTTGAGTTTTGTTTTCAAACCAAACAGGTGACTTGCAGTCCCCTTCTCTCCCCTGCATGTTGTAGACATTTTATGCCCCTACTAAAGTCCTGGGGTGACAAACCAAAATAACTAAAGACCGAAGAGTAAGCCTGCAGCAGCCTAGTTCCCTAGAGCTGCTTCCAGGCTCTACTTAGCCAATCCCTTCTACTCTACTTTCAATCTCGATTTCATGGAGTTTGCTTCCAGGTGAGGGGTTCATCTCCAGGGATATTTAACTTCCATCCCAACAAGGAAGCAACTTTCTTCCCTCGCTTTCATCTTATCTTGCTTTTTCTTACTTCTCCCCTACCTCCTCAGCCTTGCCTTTCTCCACCCCCATATAAAGAGCCCAAGGGACTTTCAAAGATCCGACCTTTGTTTTCATTGGCCAAGGAAACCGCTTTCTCTTGAGCAACTATTTCACATCCTATGAAAACGCTGGTCGGATGGAAAATCCCAAACCCCTAACTTATCTGCATAGTTCTTCCCTTGGGTTGAATCATCACACCTGGTATCCTGTACTTGCAATACATTATGTGGAAAGGAAATGACCTTAAACCATCCAACACTGCCTCAAGAGTTCTGACAAGGTTTCCCTCCTTTGCTGATGTATATTAAATTATTGGTGAAAGAAAAGAGAAGTATTGAAATTCGTTCATTTTCTTTATGAAAAAAGGAACGAACACCATTTATTCTTTAAATGTCAAATGACTCCCCTTTTGAGTTCGTCTCTAACTCACTATCATTGTCTTTACCACCCAGTCAAGAAATACAAACGGCCTCTTCTTGAGAGCACTCTGGAGGGTATCCGTGTTAAGTTTGTATATATTTATTTATGCTTAATTTAATGGGAATGTGTAAATATGATGAGCAAGTAGTTTGGGATTATTTATCTGTGAATCTATACCTCTGTGAATGGGTGGTTTTTTAAAAAAAAGAAAAACCGCTTGACCCTAGGTAGAATCCTATCTGAACTTTTCTGTTCTTTATAGACAAGCTGTTATGGTATTGGGTAGAAATTGGTTTATTGTCCAGTGTTAACCTGATTTACATAAATAAAAAGATTGTTGTGTTTTTGTTGTGTTCTTATCTTCAGTTTCTTAAACATGGACAGTGTTTTATTCTGCAGACAGCAAAGAGATATAGGAAAAAGATTTCTTCCTTTTGCCGCCCCAACGGAAGTACATAGTGTTTTTGTTACAGCAGAAATACAATAAATTATGCTTATCAGAAAAATGAATGCTTTTGTTCCAGTAGGAGGTGCTTTTTTTTACTTTTAAAATTTCAAATGCATACTAGTTCCAATCATATTTGTAATAAAAGTTCATGTTAACTGTATCTTATTGTTTATTTTACCCATAAAAGAAAATGAGTGATCTATTTACTTTCTGGGTGACTAAAAGATTCTGAGTTCAGGTCAAAGATGCCACAGTGGGAAGTTGGATGTGTTCCCAGGTGGTATTGGTACATACTGCAAAACTGGATGCTGGTTCCTACACTTGAATACCTAGACTCTGAAGGGACTAAGTGGTCAATTTCAGCATGGAATTCCTTCCCCACTCTATCAGTATAAGGGTTTTTGCAAATAAATGATGAAAAGGTTTCGTTGGTTTCAAAGACTTGTACATAACTTAGTAGGCTGTTTCTTTTCTTGGGTTCTGAGCCTGCCTTAAAGCAGCCAGCTGTTCTCACGTGGACTAATAGAGTTTGGCTTAGCCCCATAAGCTTCAGCGACTAAATTTCTCTGTCTGTATTTTGTCTCAAATGTAGGGTATCTTCCTGGAGGCCAGGAAAGCAAAGTCATCCAAGATATTCTACAGTTTGTACAAGTCACTACCTCTTTGGGGGCATCACAGACTTTATCCTTTTCTACACCATTATTATATAACTTAACCATAAAGAGCAGAAACAGCAGCCAGCACATACATACAGAAATGGTACATCCTCAACTCAGATTGCATAAGTGTTTAACAAATATTTGATGTTTGAATAATAAATAGTATACCTTTCAAAAGTTTTCCAATTTTCAAATCAGTCTTGTACAGAAGAGATGGCACAATCTGGTTTATGTGAGGATTTCTAATCCTTGTAATATTTATTAATTTAAGGGAAGAGGGTTTCTATGGCTAAAATGGTAAATAATATCCTCAAAGAAAATAAAATAAAAAAAGGGAAGAGGGAAGAAATCAGGACAAAAACAAACAGGAATCCACAGGAAGTGTCATTATAGGTAT